TGTCTGTAAATGGTGAGCTTGTGCAATAGGACGGCAGAGAAAACAAGACAGGAGACGGTAATCATGGTAACAGGACTGTGTAAACTACAATTCAGTCTGTAATGATAAACAGTGATTAAAAAAAAAAATAGGACAATCACTTAACAGGAGTCCAATTTATTTAATCACAAGAATGAAAAACTTTGGTATAGCCCTGTATTATTTTACTTACTGTGACATTGAACAGGTAGCAGGCTGGATTCCTTGGAGACTTTCGCAAATGAACAGAGCTCACATTAGCCATCAATGTGACACTGATAATGCTGTAAAAATATTAATTTAATGGTAATTATAGGACTGAGTGGAATACAATTCGGTCTGAAATCATACAAGTGATTAACACAATTGGATGACCGCATAGTAAGAGTCTGATTTGTTTAATCACGAGTCTGATAAGATTACAGACCGAACTGGAGGAAACAAAGTTCTGATATCAATTAATCATAACTATAGCAAAATTTGCGATATTTTAGGTTTTTTTAAACTTAAGACACAAGAAATTGCGAGAGCTTTCTCGCTAGTAATGAAAAAAAAGCCATTTAAGTGCATGTGGGATGGCCATAGAGTCCAATTACAGGCATGACACATACTGTCTTATTAGTACTAAAATCAGGATAGTTGGGAGCCAATTAGATTTGAGAATTTGGTTTTAGTTATGATTAGATATATAATCATTCCTTTGACTCACAGGACTGTTTTAAACTCAAGCAAATCAACTGAGGTCATCAAAAAAACATTGATGAGTTACATGATTATAAGTTTCAATGAAGATATCAATGAAACTACATACAAGTACTGTACCTTTCAAATGATTCTGGCAACATGTTTGTTTCAACAAAATGAGTAATGTTGTTAACTGATTCCTTAGAGAGATTCAAATCTCGACAAACTACACCCATGAGTAAAGGACAAATTATGTAACACTTCACAAACTGTGAAACACAACAATACATAAATATAATTATAAAGCACAAAGTTTCTTGGGTTCTATTGACTTAAAGAGTTTGCCTGAGAAATTGGACCAAAGCTACAAAACCAAGAAAAATCTGTTCTTCCCAAAAAGAAACTCATATACACTTTGTACAAATATAGTAATGCTCATCATCGCTAACAGCGTGAAGTGAAAATTAAAAAACTCAAGTATCCTTTAGGGCAAGCTTCTCATGAAGCACAGGCCTACCAGCCCTTTGTATCACTTTCATGTACTTTATCTTAATAATGAAGGACCGTTATTTGTCAGGTAAATACAACAAGCAGGTGGGAAATCAAACAGCTAAGGATTTCTTCTGTTTTTTTTTTCCTTCATTTTCCAATGAAAGCAGCCAAAGTCATGTTTGTAGTGGCCAGGAGAAATCCCCGGCTATCAGCCTTAAATGACCGCCCTCTAATTGCTGCTTGCTCATCAGACAACTACTCATGATTATTATTTTGATTAAAACATGCTAGCCACAAAAGGTCGCTCCAATAGCCTTAGGTAATTGGACAGCACTTTTGTGGTGCCCTGTCTAAGCCTATATTATTTTTTTAAGGATACAGTAATCTGTTTGTCGGCTAAGTTCATATGTCTCCTCTTCTGCGTTCACATGACTGATGTTATACTTATATACACACATTAACATAGGACCAGGTCTCTCCTCCATGGACATTGGAAAAAAACCAAAAGTTCCAATGGCAATTTTTCGGATATCATAGTACTGAAAAATGAATGGGACAAAAGTAGTTGGTTGAGATCAGAACAAAGGAGAGGATAACATGGAGGTTGTGCAGTTGGAAAAATTGAAGTGAGCCTGTGGAATCCTGTGGAAAACCTAAGATTTCCTAGTCGCCCAAGAGCAAAGGTAGGTGTCAGGGGCCACCAGGCCTTGCTAGAATACAGACCTAGGTTAAGCAACATGTTTGCGGGAGAAGCCAGTGGCAAACAGAAGAGATGACCATTTTATAATGATCTTCACTGTTTGGTGTTATATTGAGACACTTTTAAATCTCTCTATTTTAGACTTCACCTGGCTACCAAACCTAAGGCCTACAGGAAAAAGCTCATTTTGCCCCCTTCTTAACATCAATGCACCATTAAGGCTACAAGGAAAGAAAGAAATCAAAACAAGGGTTTTTAGTCACAGCTGCGAATTGCACACAGGCCCCTCTTACACAGAAGGACAAAAACTAATTAACTGTGCCAATAACAGGGTAACATGACTGTACTATTTCTCACATTAATTTTTGTCACCCTTAGATTTTTCAACTGTACATGTTGATGTACAGAACTTGGCTTTCATATTTAGCAGCCTCTGGCACATCTGTAACAGCCCCTTTGACCCCTCATTTCGAACTTACCTGTCTCACTGAGTGATGCACTTGATTGTAGAACTGATCTTTTGTGTAGATGGCATAATTTGAGTCATTGGAATCAACAAGAAACAAGTAGTCAAAGGCTTGTTCACTATCATCTAAGAAGCTTACAACAGAGAAAAACTCTGATGCAAACAAGAAAACCTACCAAAATAAAAAAAATAATGTGTGTTACTTATTATTAAATATATACCCAAATCTCTTGTAATCATTTAATAAATAAAATCAATACAAAACCAAAAAATCTTTAAATTTCTGGTAGATGCAAGGGATTACTGACTGGTTGCTTATAGAAATTGACAAGATGATTTTTGAGAAAGATGACATGAACCTACTTTAGTGACCTAAGCTCCCACAAGTCTTCTGAAGCTCAGTGGTAGAACATCTGGAGAAGTAACCTGGCCCCGGTAGTTAAAAAGAGGTGGATAATACTATCCACTGGATAAATCTCTATCGTGTGGATAACCCAGTGAGTTTCCCAAATATTTATCCATTGGATAGTGATTTATCCAGTGGATGGCGCTATCTAACGTTTGAACAACCGGGCCCCGAAGGTAATAGGTTTGACTCCTGCTGGGATAACTCCGATTTTTCCTCTGTACCACCTGTGACACTAACGAGTGAAAAAACATCTTTCTTGCGTATTCAACGGGTCCAAGTTGTTCAAATGCTACATAGTACTATTCTTGGTTTGCAAACACATTATAAGGCGGCCATGTTGGGGTTCAATACAATAGCATTTTTTCTTGAAGAATCTACACGAAAATAGAGTTTGGTTCCCAGTGCAGAGAAATGCTTTTGTTCTTGACCACCAACATGGCTGCCGTGACAACACGTGCAAACCAGCAATCCACTGGATAAATCTCTACGCCACGGAAATGAATTAGGGAAACCAATTATGTTATCTACTGGATAGAGATTTATCTAGTGCATAGCTAGCGTTATCCACCGTTTTATACCTGCACAGTGACCATTATCAACTTGAGAAATTGAAGCAAAAGCTTCCAAGGTTTTCTCCCTCGATGTTTGTACTTTTGCAAAGGTGTCATGAAATGTAATTTTAACCGTTTCCGCATGACTTCCTGGCGATTTCTGAGACTCCCTGAGAACTCCGTAGAGTCATAAATCGACTGGTAATGTACAGAGGTGTTAAAGCTCGAGGCGCTTCCTCGCTGGTCCAAGAGCGGCTCTGTGTAGTCGTCGAAGCTCGCTAAACTGCTCTCGTTGTAAGAGCGAGCCAAATGTCTTGCATTTCTAGAAGAAACTGCTGGTAGAACGACTCGACTGGCCATTTAGACACCACGATCAAAGGCAGCAATCACAAAGTTATTTCGTTTTCCTTTAGTCTTGTGACCAGTGACTTGCTGCTGCCCGTATCTGGTTTCTCTTCCAAGCAGATCGTTATTTCACTTCATTGTTTCATCACAGGTTACACTATTTGATGATAATGCAGGTCAGCTCGTAATTTCCAGGCAGTAGTTTATTTTTCGCCTCTATAATAACCTACTTTCCTGCTCTCCCACAGTTGTCATCATTTCACGCAGCGAAAGAAATTTTTGTAATGGCCGTAGGAAGATATCCCAGAGCTCATTGCGCGCCTAAGTATGCTGCTTCTAGGGGAGGACTAGGGGAGTATTGGAGGAGGAGTGGGAAAGGACGGGAGGAAGGCAGTTTCACGCCAAAGTTTACGCTTACATTACGTCGACCTTTGTGGCCCCAAATTAGCTCGTACTCGAAGCAAATTATAGGCAAAATTGTTCTTGCGTTTTGGTTATTTTGCTTTAACAGATAAAAACCTCTCAAAAATTGCAAAAACAAACCTCAAACATTGCACTTACCACAGGTAGCCCAAGCTCGAAATATGAGCATTGGCGAGCATCGGCATTGTTGCGCAACATTCAAAATATAAGGATTTGTATTGGAAAAAAAACCTATCGTTTCTGTAACCTACGAAAATGAAAGGATTTCAATAAAAATAAGCTTACCTTACCTAAAATGTGTGTTACGTCTCTCCTGTGAGGTCCACGGGTCGATTTATGGCCGTTTAAGGGTTTTTGTGTAAACGGTTTTCTCTCTATATTATGTAAGGTAAACCTTTACATAAAAACCCATAAAACGGCCACAACAAATCCTTATACTTTGAATGTTACGCAACAATGCCGATGCTCGCCTATGCACATTTTCGAGCTTGGGCTATCTGTGCTTATACTAAACGAACACAAAGTGGATCTGATTTATCTGTTTTTCTAAAATTGTTGAGACTTTGAGTTGAACTAGGTAAAGACAAAAACCCTTGAAGTGTACGGTAGTCCATGCAGTTACTGATAGTCACATACATAACATACATCATCAAGAGAGGGTATCCTCTCTTGTATACATACAAAACATAAGCTTATGAGTCTGTGTGGACCAACCCAGTTCCGCTAGCAGAAAGAGCCAGCCCGGATTATGTAATCAGGCCCTCAGCCTTGTAGTAGACTACTTTTTTAGCCCGTATGTTCTGTTTTCCCCATTCAGGTGATGCTCTCCAGGGATTGTGCTTTTCACCATTTCATAAATTTACGCACGTACTGCTGCAGGTCGATGAACATTTGAAAGAAACAGTTCTCTGAGACCGTCATATGTTCTCTGAGACCATCATATGGTCTGAAATGGGGAAACAACAGGCCTATTGTATGATACAAAAGGGAAAATTACAAATAAAGAAAAAGCCTGAAAAGTTATCTTTTTACCTGGACTGTTACCATGAACGACACCAGCAGCTGAAGCGAAAGTTTCCAGGGTTTTTTCCTTCGATATTTGAATTTTTGCCAAGGTGTCATAACACAAGAGTTTATCCGTTTGCGCATGACTTCCCGGCGATTTCTGATGGGAGCCGGCTCCAAGATTTCAGCATGATAAACTGTTTGGGAACACACCTGATGTGTACTGGAGCTCACTGAACTGCCGAGACCATTACGGTTTTGAGGTTTTAGAAGAGGTTGTGTGCATTCGCCCATAGATGACAACCTTTTAGCCGTCTTACTGGAGCGAAACAGACCGTTTACAGTGGATGAAACTACCGGCAAAAGAATCCAAGTGGCCATGGTCGGACTTGTCAGTCAGAACTCTTTTTTTAAATCAGCACTATCCTAATTAAATTCCTAAGACAATAGCTGCAATGGAGAGTTTTCTCAGTTCTGTCCGAAGACTGAGACATTCAAGGTCAACTACATCATTGCGGTCTTCGATTGAATGTCTATATATTTTATATATATCGTAATCGCATGTCTGTAAGCAGCTTCCCGGCTCAGCAAGTCACAATAAAGATTTTTACCTTTTAAGTCCCAGTATCAACTTGCATGTTCTCCATACTCTGGCCGTACATTCTTATGATGCTAACAAGGAGAATTAAATCACTGATGAAAGACAAGAAGTAATAGCACATGACGATCATATCGAGCTCGGGGTCGAGACATGAAAAACGTTATTGGATGAGGATACCTCTTGGCAGTCAGGAATAGGTTAGACTTACCACGAGCCTATCGCACGAGTTCCACTCTTGTAAAGGGAGCCACGAACTTACTTAAGTTACGTAACTGAATGTTATTCCTTCTTCCGGTCGCCGTTGATGAATTTCGAGCGTTTCGAACGAAATGTCGACCAGTGAATTGTTTGAATTTATTTTGCTCTGAGTTTTGCAAGTTGTTGTTTCTATTATGTCTTCGCCGAAGCTGAGAAGAACAACCTTTTCGGTAGCTTTCGGTAAATTGGATTCGGCTATCATATACCACTGACATGAAGATTTATGCAGATGTCGAAGGCCGATTAAAACCTCCTTAATCATTTTTAAATAGTCACAGGTTGTTCTTTATTACTGATCAGATTGTTACGTGATTGTTGTCTAAAGCCGTGACTCAATGGTCGTAGTCAAATGCCTCCAATCTTTCCTGAAACAGGAAAGGCACAGTGAAGGCAAAAATTAACTGATATCTAAGAGAAATTCTGAAAGAGAGGAAACAAATTTACAGCACTCTGAAAACGGAACAATATCGGCTGAGGTGACGGCTAAGAATGATTCAGCGTCAGCCATTAAGAACAACGAAGCAGCAATAACAATAGCAACAACAACAACATAGACTACGAGTAGTCCCCCATTTTTCCTCAGGGATAGTAGAGCGAGCGAAACGCGAGCGCGCGTGAAAATCACCCCACGCGAGAAGAGGCGACACACATTTTTCTCTCTCCCCGCCGCGTGTCGCCTTTTCTCGCGTGGGGTGATTTTCACGCGCGCTCGCGTTTCGCACGGTCTAATATCCCTGAGGAAAAATGGGGGACTACTCGTAGTCTAAGAACAACAGTACAACGAATCTTTCCATCAGTTCTGTCAAACGACTACAATTTGTTTAATTTTCTTCATATTTTTAGTTTGAGGAACAAAATAAATAGAATGCTAGACAGTTCAAGCCTTTCGTGGTACGTATTGTCTCCGATAGTAGAGGGCAAGAACGTGGAACTACCGCGCTGAACGGATGCTCAAGTCTCTGATCGCAGCTAGGGTTTAATTACACAGTGGCGAAGCTTGGCGGTTTCCCCGATTTCATACACGCGAGAGCCGTAACGGTTGCCTCGAAGAACTCATTATTCTGATGAAAAACGGAAAATCAACAGATCATCCCCGTGAAATGCGATTTGGGAGAAGGGGAAACAACCTCGTTCCCAGGGCGCTTTTCCCTGGCTTTGGAGGTGGGGCACCCCACCTCCAAAGGGGACGAGGTTGGTTGGAAAATTTCTAGCCACGCCCCTGTTACGTCCTACAGCTAATCTCGTACCAGATCTCCCACGGTCAAGGAAAAGGGAGATCTCACTTTTCAATGTAAGACAGAGTGAAATCTGGGTACGACCCATACTTCAGTTACAACTGGGATCCCCTTATTGAAGAGGAAACTATCGACAAATATTAATCAAGGAGCATATTACTCTAAAAGGCTCCTGCAGTTATATTCTGTTTTAAAAATTACAGAACACAGATAAAAAAGACAAGAAATAGATCAGTTTTTCCATATGCATATTTTTTAGCTTTTTCAAGATCTTTCGATTCCTGGGGAACAATCTATTTCGTCAAGAGAGAATAGAATCAGTGATTTCGTTCAGTTTTGGAGAAAACCTAAGTGTGTAATCCGTTGTATCGGCAACTGACAAACCTGTGTGTCCTGTGTGTACCTGAAAGACATGATTGAAAATATCAAATACCCCGACGTTTTACTGTTAGGAATATCATGTAAGTAGACGGCAGAGGTCAAGTCCGTCGGCGGATTATGTCAGGATTTTTACTGCGATTTAATTCCTTTTAGAGTTCCAAGTATTAGAAAACACGACTGTGAATACTTAGAACCAAACTAAATTCAACCAAACTAAGCCTTTACCAAAAAATGTGGATCTTACTATGACATACCGGTAGCTCGCTAGACTGCTACACTGCAGCCCTTTTTTAGTGTCGTCACGCAACGTTCCTCCCCCGTTGCGAGACGACACTAAAACGGCTGTGTAGCAGACTAGTAGCTCGCTTGACTGTTCATTCTATTTCTAAAATCACCAGGAAATTATCATCTGCAGACAATGCATCAGCAAAATTTTGCGCGCAAGTACATCAAATATACTGCAACCCACCTGCGACAATACAAATAGGTTATTAGTCCACGTGCATAATACTAATGTTATCTTAATCGGGATCACATTTATATATATCGACATGGTCGGGGCGTGACACATGATTGGTCAGCAGTAACAAATTGGCTCATCCAACGCCATATTTAGTTGCAGACTTATCAAGTGCTGTTCTTGTTTCACCTGGTAGCTGAAGAGGGTACAACGTGAAATGAGGCACCGAGCAAGGTAGGTCGGGTGTTAGGTTATGTTTGTACTCATTTTACCAAACTAAAAAAAACTCTTTGGCTAACTCCTAATTACCAATATCTAAAGATGATTCTTGTCTCCATCGAAAATTAATATGCAGAGTAAATGTATGAGTACAACAACATTACTTCCGCCAAGGGAAAATTTTTGCACGCGTCATCTCGTGGATCCGGGTTTGCACTCTTATATAAAAACATATCTAGACCGCTTTCGATCGAGAATATACTTAAATTTTTTCCTTTTATATCCAGCGGGATAAAGTTCCTCTAATTTTACGTCTACTTGCCAAGAGCTCGATAACTGCCGACTCAATCAAATAACCGTTCTACCTGCCAGCTATGCAATTTTGATTATTTTGTGGTATGCAACTAATTATTCAAAGCAGTGAGATCTTAAT